GTCTGATCTCAGTAAGGCTGAAACTGGTAGCACAGCAGATCGTGATTGTTCTTACACCATTCATCAGCAAAACCTTCTAATGTGGAAAGTAATTTAAAAAATATCTGACTAGGGTGGAACCCATTATGATGGAACAGCAGGATTTTCTTTTTAAATCCTAGTAGATTACCATTAAGAAAAAAAAAAAGAAAAGAAAACTGCCGATGGGTGTGATAAAATTATGTGCTGGTCTCCTACAAGAACTAACATTTTCTCTTCAAAAGTCATTCTTACTTGGGATAGCATGGGGGCTGAGAAGCAGTTTTTTCTTCCAAAACATATGTACTCTTGACCACTAAAACTCTGTTTTCTTTGCCTGGTAAAAAATAATTAATTAAATAAAAATGCAATGGTGGTTTTCCTGTTAGTATTTATAGTTTTCTCCTTTACCTAACATGTTCCTCTTTTTCACAAGACCAGAAGTACATTAGGGGGGCAAATGAAGGTCTGATCTGTTTGCCCTTGAAACATGCACTTGAGTTTGTTGACATTAGTCACATTAATTAATCATTTTATAGACTCCAGGTTCCCTAGCAGAAGAATCATCTGATTCAAGCAATTAATCCACTCATCTGATAAACACCCACTCCTGGTATTAAGGTGACTTATGCCTGTTGCCACCAAAGGGGAAAAAAAAAAACACAAAAACACACCTTAGCAGACACTTAGCAGACAGGCCAAATGCAGCTAAACTGGCTCTTAGATTTCAGTGCATAGCAGCGAATGTTTGCCCATCATAATTTTTCTGTGTTTTCTACTTCTCCAGGAATCATTTAAGAATATAATGACCCTAATCTAAGGAGATGAAATCCCTCTGCTTGAGTTTTCTTGGTACAATTTTGGTTTTTACCTACCGCGGTGAGAAGGATCTGACATTCAGCCACTTGTATTTCCTTCTCGTTGAATAGACAGATGGTTAGATGTGTAGGACATGGACAAGGAAAAGCACAAGTCAGTCTGTGCTTGCAGACTGACTGTTTCTTAGCATGTTCAACCTTGACACCATTCTCTGATTATAAGTCTGGGCAGTGAAAGTCCTATGCAAGCTACATGCTCAAACTATCGTCAAAATTCCTGCTCTATCTGGAATGCTGTGGAGTCTTTCTGAAGCCTTTGTATTAGAAAGTAGCATGTTTCCTGATAGCTGATACTTTAAATTTTGGGATAAAGCCATGTCATAAATGTCACTGGTGAAGAATTACCCAATAGATATTTACACTCAGTCATCCACTGGAGAAGCAAGGCACTCACCGCTAGTGATGTGAATGTTGTGTGTTGACTTTCCAGCTCTACTGGATGTAGCTTAGTCTTATGTCTAAGTTAATCAAACCAAAACTTTAACTGTGCTCCATTTTTTGTAAGAGGTTTCTTTTTTCCCCTCTTTCCCTCTCCCCATATTGCTCAATATCTGATAAAATGGCAAGTTAGAATGGAAGCCAGTTAAATCACTTCACTAGGGAGTGGTGAATCATCCTGTCTGTGGGTGAGAGCCACAAACAGTAGCTTGATGTCCCTAAGCTTGAATTTCACTGCACTTTTGCTTAAAATTTGTAAGTCAACCCAACCTGTTTAAATATTTGTTCTTGAAGGTGTGATAAACTCAGCTGATAAATATTTTAGGCTAAATAATGCAATGACTAGATTAAGGTAAATTGCTAAAGGAAGTTTTGCTACAGTTTGTGCTTCTGTGATTGGCCAGCCCAGGTTGCTTACCTGGAAACTGGCTGTTAACACAGTCTGCACCTCCAGCCTTTTGAGGTTCTCTTCCACCAAAACTGGGCAAGGTAACAGTATCCTTTGTGGTGCACTCTGTGCCTAAATAAGATTTTTGTTCCTAAAGCTATCCATCAGACTGACTTTGTGAGCATAGGAAAAGCATACGCACTTGCTTTTCAGTTAGTAAGTGTACAGTTGACCCAGCGCACTCTTTGCAATCCTCTTGACTGATGTCACTTGAAAGTAAGTCTCTTTGTTTCCTCCTTCCCTTCAACCTGTGCATGATAAATGTAAACCAAAAACCAAGTAGCTGTGATTTCATCCTGTTACACTACTGAGAAGCCTAGCGTAACATTGCTAGGAAGTAGCCAGCTTGTCTGTATAGAAACAGTAAGTGAAGAAAATCATTCAAAATTTGTGCATGGGAATGCAGCATGGGGGACTTAGGTAGGAAAACTGGAGGAAAAAAAAAAAAAAGAGAAAAAATGAATAAAGCTCATTACGAAAAATAGTTATGAGGTATCTTAGAAAATTTCATTCTACAAGCATGAGTTTTTAGCCTCTAATAACTGCTATACTCATCAAAGCTAGGGTGTTTAGCACTATTTGCTATTTAAGCCTGGTTTGGTTTCTATGATGTGCACAAGCCCATGTCACAAACTCAGTTTGAACAAAGTGGTCTTGGGGGCAAGCAAGAGTCAGCAGATAGGAGCAAGTTGGGTGGTTGGCATTGCAGAGACCTTCAGCTCTGTTTTCGAGGTGTGTGTGAGCGTGTGCCTGTGTGTCTGTGCTTCAGAGGCAGGTGTGGCTAAATGGGAATGGCCAAGAGCAGGGACAAAGGCAATACCAGATTGATGAGGAACAAAGATGGAAGGCAACATGGGGGGACAGATCGGAAACAAAATGACTCAGAGCTGGAAATGGGCCAGCCTCTTGTAGTTTGCTGGGGGAATTAATTCTCTCCAGCACATTTAAATTCACATCCTATGCCTTACCTTTCCATTCAAGACTTCCAGAAAATATCTGTTTTAGGTATTAAAATGGCCCTTCTTACTTGTTCCTTATCTTGGCAGTTTTCAGCAGTGCTGCCAGGAAAGCAAAACAGTTGTCTTTAATCTTTGAAAGTGTCATCAGGGAACTAAGAGGCCAGGATTAGGTTTGCTAGTAAATGTGTGCAAGGGGGCTCCTCTGGGGCTTTCTGCTTTTCTAACTGTTTGCTTTAAGGATGATGAGTTTATGCCTTCCCTCTGTGAGACAGTTGGAGTTTGCCTGTTGTTTCCTCCAGTCTGTTGTGGAGGGGAAGAGAAATAACCCAATCAGTCTGCTTTTTGAGTTCCTGAAAGATCTCTTTTTCAAGCTTTTTGGCTATAGAAATTTTGTGCTTTCCAAGGGTATTACTGAGACACTCACCATCCCCCAAAGATCTGTCATCAGTGCTATCTGGTTCCTCCAGGGAATAGCAGCAGGGATCGTAGCTCTGTCAAATTAATGTGGGTTAAGGTCACCATCCCTTGGGCTAGCTGGCTCACTTGCCTTGGAGAACAGGCGCAAGGTTTTCTAGGTAAACAAAAATCCCTGTGTGATAGTGAGCTGACATTCACACATATTAAGAATCCTTATTTGAAGCTGCTTTAGGCTGTGTGGGAACACGTCTCAACATATCTTTGCCCAATCTTGGCCAGTGTGCTGCAAAATGAGCAGACACTTGATCAGGTCTGGAATTTCCACCTGGGGAGGGAGGAGAAGCACACCAGCCCATCAGGCAGCATATTGGCCTCTGTCAAAACCAGGCAAATGGATTAAGGCTGCTCAATGACTTTATGCTGGCTGCAGTCACTAGTTACTCTGAACCCATTCATAAATTATGGTTTAAACAAGTTTTTTCAAGAGCTTGAAACAATTAGGTGCATAGATCTAAAATAGTGCACTGCCACAGTAATTTTTGTTGTGTGTCTTGAGTATACAATACTCGGTCTTTGGTGAAAGCCTCCATCTGTGCAAACATTATTACTGACACTGTTCTGAACGAAATTTGAGTGGCAGAAGAGAAATAAGTTATTAATTACTTGCCTGCACAGATGGATACGTAATCCCTAGCCAGATGAATTTAGACATTTTTATATAAGCAACAAGGTAGATCTTCAGATATCCAGTTACAGGCGTCCACTATAAAATTAATATCATCACAATCCCATCTTGAATGTCTTCCCCCTCCCCCCCTCCCCTTTTTTTAAGACATCCTTCTCCTCCTCTTGTGTTTCAGCTTCTTCCTTTTCAGTTCAGTAACAATCACTTCAGCAGAGACCCTTTAGATTGCTTTGATAAAAGCATTCAGAAAGATCAAAGAGAAAGTGCAACTCAGCTGGTGGCCTTTCCCTTCAGAGTGCTGGCTTTTAGGCCATGTCTCAGCTACAGATGTTTGCTGGCAGGGCTGTGTCAAGCCACGTTTGATAAGGAGTTTGATCCCTGTCAGGAAGATTTGTGCTAGGAGAAGCCCTGAGAGCAGATGCAGTTTTTCTGGCTATGCTGTGTGTACTTGTTGGGCAGGAGTGAGCAATAAACAGGACCAGAATAAGCTTCATGGTGCGAGTTTTGTCAGCACAAAATGCATTCACAGATGCTCAACGCTCCTGCTGCAGTAGCATTCACCTGTCTGCGGTGCCATTTCTAGCACAACCTCAGCACATCCTAAAAGTTTTTGCCAAAATAACTGTGCTGCACAGGAGGTAAAGAAACTGGGCTTAGAATGAATATAGCTCTATGGTAAAGACCTTGGAGGGAAAAAAATGGTAAAATATTGCTGTAGTGTTGAATTATCTTTTGTTTTAGCAACTAGTTTAGCCTATACTGGAACAGACACTCATACTGATAGAAGTTGTTGTTTTTTGTTTTGCTTGTTTGATTTTTACAGCTGGAATGAGTTTATATTACAGTTGAATTCTATCTCATTTGCTGGAAAACCTTTATATAAAAGCATGGCATTAGATTCTTCCAGGTAGCTGGGTTTTTAGTGGATAGAAATTCTGCTGTGAAGATCAAGGGAGAGGAGATGGACCTCTAAAAGGTGACTGGCCTTGGAGGCCTTTCCATTTTTGGTGGAAATGCAGCTCTTCATTGTTTGCCAGAATGGATCATAATTCTATTCTTCTAATGAACATTTCCTCTTGGTAATGACTCAAGCATGTGAGTAATTTATGTACTTAAGAAAAACAGAATTCCTTCCATTTTCAGGATGTTGTGTTTTTAGTGCCAAGGAGATGCATTTTGGGGAGAGCATCTTCCAGCTTAAATGCTGAAATACTGCAATAGAATTATGGGCTGCTGAGAGTGTGTTTGACAGTGGTGCAAGGTCAGGGTGGACATCAGAGGCTATAACTGTGATTCAGAGCTTCACCTTCTCGAGCAGAAGTGGCTCACATTTTTGCAATGAGAGCTGCTCTCTGCTTGCCGATTTCAAATGAAATGTAGGGTGTGACATTTCTCTCCTGCCACACTCAAGACAAAATATTTTTCCTTAAAATTTGTATCTTATTGCATTTGTTTTAACTTGTATAGGTGCAAAAGATGGTCCAGAATGTTGATTTCATGCTAACTTTAATGGTTATTACTGAACTCCACTGCTGTGAAATCAGGTAAGTGCTCTTTAAGTGCAGGGTTGGTTTGTTTGTTTGTTTTAATAAGAGCACTTACCTTTACTGAATAGCAAGTGTTTATGAATGCTATTGCCTAATACCTGCATCTGTTTGGATGAATGTGAAGTTTACTCCCTTCCTAATCACCCTGGATTTTTTTGGCTTTTATTTTACAAGAGGTTTTTTTGCAAAGGTTTCCAATGTTGGTAGTCTTACAGGGCTTCCAGTAAATGATTTTTTTACTATTGTTTTTATTTTAAATAGCGATCTGATTAACTTTCTTTTTCTTGTTATTTTTTTTTGTGATTTTTTTTTTTTCTTCCAAAAAGTACACTCTTCAATCACACTTCTGCAACAACCTACTCACTTGGGAGACTGATCCAAAGCTCTTTGAAATCAGTGGAAAGCCTCCAGCAGGTTTCATGAGATTTGGCTAAGGCCTTTTTTCAGAGCATGAAAATGGAAGCTTTTTTGTTTCTTACTGTTGCATTCTTAAATCTAAATAAGTAGAAATGTGGATTTATAAATCATAGTGAATCTACAATAACAAAGAACTTGTAGATCTCTACTCTAAAATTTGGCAAGATGTAGAGCAGGTAAATCTTACAATGTGAATAATGTAGATAACTGGAATTAAATGCAACCAAATGTACCCTGGATCCAAGGTTGTAATTTATAATATGGTCAAGAATGTACTGCAGACTCCTCAATCGATAAGCTAACGAGAAAAAGCTCTGCAATTAATTACAAATCAACTGGGTCAATATCCTGTAAATGAAAGATATGAAATTGCTAACATTTGGGTGAAATTTCTTTGCCAAGTCTATTTATAAACCTTGTATAAAATATGATATTTATAAAAAGAATAAAAGCTCCTTTCACTGTTCAAAGGCAGCACCCTGAATGCTGATTTCTTTTGCTCTGAAAATTCAACTGAACTGACTTTTTCATCAGCTTTTTGTCTGTGTGTAAAAGAACTGAAGACATTTTTTACCTTTAATTTGAGACCTTACAATGAAGCAAAAGAGCTATAAATAGGGCTCCCAGGGTGATGTTACCCGTGACTTAATGGTCAAACATCTGAAATACTTAGAGTTTGTGGCCAAATGATTCTCTTAGTAGATGGCAGGACTTGAAATGTTCTAATCAGCAATCTTGGCAATCTAACATCTTGTCACATTTATAGAAATAGTCCCAAAAAGGGCAGCTGGGTAGTGAGGTGGTAGGCTAATGCTTGTATTTGAAAGCAGCTTGTCATCTGCATGGCTCTCCAACTTCAAACAGCTCTATGCCTTTATAACTTGCAAAACTGGGAGTGATACTTACCCGTAATCCTTTTCATCTGGCAGTGATGATTTTTTTCATATATATTTTATAATGTTTCTGCTTTTTATTAAAAAGACAGAGGATGATCATTTCCAAGCAGGAAATAATAATATTAAATGTGAATCTCTCATTTTCTGTAAGATATGTTTGTTTTATTACCTTGCTATGTAATTTTACTCCCCTTTTTTCAGGGGCAAGGGAAATCTGAGAGTTGTACTGTAATTATATACAACAATAATGAGAGTTTAACTGAACAATAACTGTTCTTGAACTGTAACACATTCATTGATATCAGTGAATTCCTTTTAAGCAGGTGGACAAAATGCCCTTAAAGATATTGACAAGAAAGGTCAGGACTTCATTACCTAGTTTTCCCCCATACATTCTCTGTAAAGACTCTGCTGGTTTTAATTTCGGGGTTCATAGGATTTTACAGAGGTTGCATTGTTATTGGTGTATTGGTATTTCCAACATAATGCTGCTAGGCTACCCAGGTTGTCTGAGGTTCCTAGGGCTGCTTGTTTGTGTTAAAAATGTACTAGTCCTGTTTCTTGTTGCAAAGAGGAACAATTTTGAGGAACAATTTTTTATTCGATACATAAACAAGGAAAGCAAACTCTTCCCACACAATGTTCCTGGTTTCACCATGGAAATCAAAACCATAGTAGCCATGGGAGTTGCTGAGACATGAAGAGCTTGCTGTGAACAGTGTCCCTTTGTTTTCTTCATCTCTCAGGGTAGACCGAGGCTGGGCTTCTTAAGTCAGTGAAAGGAAATCTGAAAATCTGGAGAGAGGATCTGAGATAGAATATGGAAAACAGTGAGTACTGACCAATTGAAGGGGAGTCTTTTCTCTACAGGGGGCAAATATCTGGAATGATCCTTAGCAGGGAAGTACAGGAGTAAGGGTGTTTACAAGCTTTTTTAGGCTTTCTGAATTCAAAAGTACTTGGATCAATTCTGCTTTGCCATTGTTTTATTATTATTATTATTAATAAAGCCATGGTGCAAAGCCCCTGGAGACACTTTTTATTTAATGTTAAAATACTAATAAATCAAGGCCTTTTCATTTATGTTAAAATGCTGGTATTTATAAAGCTGACTGTTTCAAACAAATATTTCATCTAGCACAGCAATTGATCATTGACTATAGGGTTAAAATACCAGAACGTTTGATACAAAAACATGCTAAGCCTTCGACTTTTCTCATGTATTAGGAAGGATACATAATAATAAATACAACTAAGGGACAAAGTATTATATGATTTTAGAGAAAAATATCTGGCTGACAGCTTACATCATCAGAAGTGACAATGATATTGGATTACTATAATCAGCTTTAATTGCAGCTCTACTTTAATGTTTTTTCTGTCTGACTTCAGTGCAACTGCCTCCACACCTGAATTCAAGCATTTCGTGCAAATATTTGTGGAACATTGAGTTTTATTACCTATTTGGTTTTCTGCCTATTTTGTAGTGCTCAGGAGGCTTAAAGTTTAAAATTTTTTCCTTATTTCCAAATTGTCATGATTAAGAGGTGTTCCCAAAATCTTTATCTGTAGACCCACAAGGACAGCAGTGAAGGAAGTCTTTCTGGAGTCTTGGCTGCTCTATGAGATTCATGAGATTTCCATAAAACTGAAATTTCCTTTTCAATCTGGGCTGTGGTTTTCTTTTCAAGAAGGATGTTGCTGAGGTAAACTAGCTCTGTTGAGGTTAGAAGAGTTAAATCACCAACAGCTTTCCAGGGCATTATAGATGTGAGGCTGGTCTGTCTCCACATGAATGATATACTTAGCACACAAAAAACTTTTGTAACTATTTTTTTTTTTTTTTTTTAACTTGGAACAAGAATGAGATCCTTTTCCAGTCCTCTTTGTTCTTTCTTTTACTGCATCTTTTCTCAGCATTTTACAACATTTTGTTAGCGGTGTTATAATATTATAGTACATTAAAATATTATTGTTTTATTATATATTTTCTACCATTAGATTAATGGCTATAAGAGGACCATAATGAAGGTTCATGATTCCATTGATGAAAACTTTTTTTGGAGTGGAAAATGTGTGGTGATGATTGTGTGTTAAAGCAGCATGTAGAACTTCCTATGTCATTTAACTTTTTCTGTATGTTTTATATGCAGCTTCAAAGTTATCTTGCCATTTATTTTTCTCATCAAGGCATGTGCCTCCAGGCTTTTAGTATGTCTGTCTTGGTTTCATTCTAAAGACTCAGCTCTGATCTGAGTTGCTATTTCTCACCTGCAGTGACAGTGAGAAATATTAGTATTTACTTGCCTCCTCTGAAAGAGGGATTTATTGTACAAATATATAAAATAAAATAAAGGGTGGGGAGGGAGGGAGGGAGGGAGGGAGGGAGGATGTGCACAACAGAAAATTAAATAAAACATTCCCAGTGAATACTGGGAATGACTTCAATCAACAATGAATAAATCAACTAATGATTCTGTTTTAATAGGGTATAATTTTAATGCAACGTTGAGAAATATTATTGTATCACCAGCAGTGATGTCATTAACATGTAGACTAAAACAGACAGCTGCAAAAATACTATAGAAAATGCCTACATTTCACATGTGTACTGTGAAGCTAGAACTCTTCCCATTTCTAAACCACTCCACCTCCTCAGGAAGTTGCATATAGATTAGAAATGTCTAGGAAATGTGTCCAGAAAGAACATTTGTTACAGTAACATTAGCTGGTTTCCATTCAACCTGGAGAAGCACAATCATTGTTTTGTCTGTATTTTCCTTATTAGACATTCAAATGAAATTTAAGCACATGAAATCTGCATTACTATGAATATATTTTTTCATTAAGCTAGAGAAACTAATTAGCACTGAAATTAGATTTCAAATACAATTCATGATATAAAGTCTCTTGAAAATAAAATAAAAAACAAACAACAATAAAAAACAGCCAAAACCTGCTATCAGTTTTACATCTGCATTCTTATCTGCATTTTTAGTCTGGTCATCTTACAGATGGTGCCTCCACAACTCCATTATAGACCACTTTTCATCTGACTTTCTCTTCAGTGAATCACTTGGTTTCCTAAGTAAAAATGCATTATGTCAATAATCAGGTTTTAATTTAAATGCATTCCTTTGTTTATCAAGTTGATCAGTCTTCCTTCCTTTCTTCTGATGTGTTTTTTTTGGGGGGAGGAAATTGTAAAGTGTAACATCACTGTTTTTTTTTTCTGTATTTGTCATTGTTTAATCTATTCTGAGCAGACTGTAAACTTCTTATAGTCATTAACTTACTGAGTCTATTGGCATTCATTGTTCAAATGGTGTGAGGTTGTAGGAGAAGAAAAGGGTCTCAGGATCGTCCCCTTCATAAGGAATTTGTAAGTGGTGCAGCACAGATGAGTTGAGAGAACTGGGAGATGAAATATCTTGAAATATGCATCTAGAGGTAATTTCTTGTCTTACACTTTGCACTGCTATTTTAAGAGTTGCTTAGGAGACCCTGCAAAGCCAGTAGTCCTAGAACAATATTTGAGAGTGAATAGTAGTAGCAGTGTTCAGCTATGAAAACAAAACAACCACAAAACAACTACAAAACTTATCTAGATTTTACAGGCTGTACATGTTTTTTGTTTTCAGGACAAAAATTGAGACATACTATAATGGACAATTAATAATTAAACAAATGACAAAACAGAAAAACAGAGCAACCTGTTTCAGATTATCTTCCACCACACCAACATGTTCTTATATCTCAATTACAAAGACAACAAACATTCTCTTCTTTTAAATAAAAAACTGTGGTTTATAATGTTTTCTTCTGTTGCATATTCATTATTTTCAGCAAGGAAGATGGCTTTTAAGTTTGCAGATGACACTAAACAACAAGTAGAGCTCTGGACAGCAACAAGCCTTTCTCTCCAAGAAACATCTGCTCAATGAAGAAGGTATACAGTGAAAAGTGTGTCTCATATGTTCTGCTTATATCCAGTGGGCTTAGTTAAAATAATTAGCTAGGTAAGATTTCTCACTTTGATTTCCAAGTCTCCTGTTACTTTGTTCCATCACCTTGGTCAATTCAGTTCAGTTTACCTGGTTGTAAAATGTGTTCCATAATATTTATTTGATTTTACTGTGATTAAATCTTCTGTTGTTAGTTTAGGTCTCCTTTGTTCTAGTTATTGTATACATATATAAGTATTCAAAGTCCTGCTTCAGGGAAGGTATTGCATTCACAAATAATGTAGGTACAGTTAGCAAAAAATTCTAGGTTTTATTAGGGGAAGCCGAGCAGCTGGGATCACAGCTAAATAACAAACTTTATTTTATTTTATTTGGGGGGGGGGGGGGGGGGGATGAATAGTCAGGAAGTGTTGGATATTGAATCAATGAATTTATGAATGTGTTATCTGCTCTTCTAAAAGGGCTAACTTTTTTTTTTGACAATTTGTTAAGAGAATTTTCTGAAATCCTTAAACCCTTCCAAAAAATAAGGCAGCCTATAACAAAGCTCAACTTAGTTGTTCAGTTCTTACCAAGCCAATATTACAATATTATATATGGGTTGCTTGTAAATAATTGCATAAACCTATGCTGTATAGAGCACCCTCCTTGATAGTTGGTTTTTTTTTTCAGATGTATTTTAGTGTCCTGACACAGTGTCTCTTTGGTATAAACAGTAAATACAAATCAAGTCCATCCCCAGCCTGTTCTGTGAAATTATGGCACTATATTTTGAGGTTTTGCCAGTTTAAGATACAAGCAGAAGTGCTGTTGGCTCTGGCTTGCTACTGTAAATGTAAAATGTTAAAATGGTGAGTAATGAAAAATGGACGTAATTCAATCCTGCCCAGGAAATTCAAGGACTTAACAGGGAAAGAAGGTAGAAATATGTATCCTGGCTCTGGAGCCTGATTTGCTTTCTTGAAACTTGATTCTTCTCTGCCTGGGGTCTGCTGGAAGTTACAGAAGATCAATAGCATCTGATTGCATGCCCTAGAAAGCAAGGATTGCTAGGTGGTGTTAACCACTGGTAATTTGGTTTTGGTGCTGTATTTCTGTCTCGCATCCCCCTTCTCTTCACTAGCTGCCAAATTCACTTTACATTGGCATTGGTTGGTCTGTGACCTTTTTATCTAACTTGCTTCTGGGGTTTGCTATTTTCCTTCATTACCCTCCTCATCTAACCTGTGTGCTTGTCACCATTTACACATCCTTCTCCAAAGGTAGGGATCATCGTTCAAATAGAGAACAAGCTTGGCCAGCATTAAGAGCTAATCATCAGCTAGTAGGTTAAAAGTAAATAGACCGAAGAGTTAATCAGCTACAGCTTTTCTCCTTTCTTGAACATGGGCAACAGGCAGCTTGGGGAGTCCTAATATCCCAGGGAGGTTTGAGAGAGAAGAGATGTTTGCTGAGACTTTCCCTGTGGTGTCTGAAAAGCTCTGCTTGTTCTTACCCTTTCCTCGTATATATTTTATCCTTCTTCTAAATGCTTCTGTTGCTGCCTCCTCAAGACTCTCACACTTCTTGGTTATTTCCTTATTTAAATACTACTACTACTACTACTAATGACCTAATCTTGGGTGATTTTAAGGCTATTAGTTCATCTTTATCATCCTTACCTTCCTCAGCTGTACAGTAGCAATAGATGTATGCCTAGCTGCTGCTATTCCATTCAGTGCATAAAGTATGAGGTATTATTAGTCATATTATTATTTAGATAAATATAGATATTTTGTTAGCCTAGCAAGTTTTCACTCTAGACATTCATTTTAATTGCTCAATAAACTTATTCTTCAGAAATCCTCTTCTCCTCTGTAGTTTGGAAACATAAATAGATTTGATTGACACACAAGCCAAATCTGACTCAGGACGTGTCGATACAGGTAGAAGTAAAAGTGGCACGTTCCTTAATGCTGTATGTATGTGACAAGTGAATTCAAGAGAACAGCAGAGAATAGCCGTGTCACTTAAGCAGAAGATTTGTCAAGAGATTCTCCACTGGCACTACTAGAAATACACACGACTTCATTCTGATCCCATCCAGGTAACTTAGCTCTTTAGTAGCTGGTGGTACTTGTTTTGTGCTTGTGCTACAGCTGTGCAAAAACATTGAAAAGAAGTAAGTAACATAACTGGGGTGAACTTCACTTCATTAAGTTGAAGTGTGTCATTTGTTTAAAAAGTGAACATGGCAACAGATTTCGAAAGTGTGTTAATTAATAGATACAAATTACCATAATCACGTCAAGATACAAATTACTGTAATCATGTCCGCTTAAATCTTTCAGTGATTATAATGCCATCATTTCAATGCCATGTTCCTAACAAGATACTAATTTCTTGTTGTGAGTAATTTTGGGATTGTTATAACTGCATTTTGATGACCATTGCACTTGGGGGAGACAAATAGCACTGTGAGTGGAGAAAAAGATGCTCAAAAACAAGGGGAGTTAATGTAGATGGGCACGCTAATAGGTATATTTATATCTATAAAATCACTCGGATGAATGAGTCCAGGTTAGCTAACTGCCAGTGTGCCATGCCATTGCTTTTTTTTTTTTAATGATGGTGGTGACTTCACAGAGCAACTAGAATCCAAGAAGGCATCCAGTGGGGGACAATAAGTGATGAGTTTTCAAAAGAGGAGATCTGTGGTATATAAAATAAAGAGAGCATTGAAGCAATGTGATTCCAAGGGTTTTAAATAGCCATTTTTTTCTGCTGTTATATGAAATTCAGCAGGGCACTACATGCACAGTGCACGGATCCTCCTTAGAGAAACACATGCATGCTACCGTGAACGTTTACAGTGACTTGAGAAGATTGCCGTGGCAGTGAAAAGGGCTGCTATTTTCCATAAATTTAAGGGCCAGCTGCTGTACTATTTAGTTCCTGTTTCCATCAAAAATAGAGAACATTTGTGAGCCAAAACAAGAGAGGAATCTGGTTTGTAACATTTTTCTGGGTGTCATTTTTTTTGGTGTGGGTAAGGGAGGGGGAACTGCTTGCACTGGAAGCTTTGGCATTGTAGGCAAAGGAGGGAGTTCACAAGTTACAGATGTTTACTGCATCAGGGTTTTTTTTCCGTTCTTGTTTTTTTATATATATTTTTGCTGGTTTTTTGTTAGTTTTTTTAAGTGAAATGTGCTTTGCAGGGTCTAAATTGATTTACAAGCTTCTGATTTGCTTAGTCAACTCCTTCCTTGACAATATATTTAACCACATATAACTTAAATAATTGTACTTGTGAGAAATGTATTTATTGTCCAGTGACCAATCTTTTTTTTTTTTTTTTTTTAATTTCCTCCTAATGACTGGTTCTGTTCATTGGGAAATATGTAAATAACGTTACAGCCAAGGAGGAGAGCTAATAGATTTTAATGGTTTAAGTTCTGTAAATGATGCCCATGAGGAACTCCTTACGCAGACAGTCCTGGGGAGTTCAGTGGTACTCCTCACAAAATAAATTTACTCACAAAAGTAAGTGTTTGAGAGTAAAGCTGTTAGTGTTCCTCTCCAGCATTCCTCTTATTCTTACTCCATTACAAAAGCAAGCCAGCACATGAACACCAGAGGGCATTTTTTAGTCTAATGAGGCCCAAATAAGGATTTAATCCAGACTAAACAACAGTTCTGAATATTTGCTGTAACTATTAATTATTGAAAATGTTTTGAATTTTTCTACTTATTTCCTAGCTTTTAGTTCTTGATTTAAATCATCTGTAATGTTCCTACTTAGTGTGTTTAATTTATATTTAATGTTTAATATATCTGTTTGCTACAGTTTAACAACCTTTACAGTTAGCTGCATTTTACTTAAAATGAATTTATTACTCTAAAAAGGTTCTGGAATGAGTTATGTATCAAAGAAGCAAAAATAGCTCGATCTTATGTACTGCTAACAAGGCGCTGAAGATTTGTGTAATTGTAAATGTGTATTCAAAGCATAAGCAATAAGTTGTACTATACTTATCAAAGATATGTTGTCTGTAAAAAGCTGTCACGTTTGCCTGATATGAGGTTCCTTCAAAGTCACGATTTCCCCTGCAGGTATTGCATGTTTTCCAATTACTCTCCTTATTTATCTATTGCAATTAGTGCATTCCTGCTACAGCTGTTTCATGAATACATGTTTTAATTAATTGATAAAACTACTATTTTTCTCAACCAGTTAGTAAACCTGTTCACAATATACACGTGAGTTTCTGGAAGTCAGTATGTAAAATTGCCCATTGATTTTTCTGGGGGGGATGATGGTGATTGATTGTCCAGGCTTTTTTTTTTCCGTTTCCTTTTTCTTTTCCTTTTTTTTTTTTTTTTAGTCCATTGTGTTATCCTTTATCCTAACAGTAAATTACAACAAACTGCATTTTAATTTAAGCTTATTTGGAGTCAACTATTATCTGATCTGTAACTGCTGAGAAAGCTGACTGATTCACCCTGTAATTAGGTCTCTGCAGCACCTTCCTCCCACATAAATGGACAGATGGAGTCCTGGTTGTTTTCCTGTGGTCACCAATGCAACTGAGGGACACATCTAAGTGACAGGCACTTAGATTCATTTGGAATTTTTAATCATGGATTAACACTTGTCAGCTTCAAAGTATACACTGGTGGGAAATTAGTGTCACATCATGCGATACAGCAGTTGTAAGTCTGCAAAGAAAACATTTTTTTTTTCTCTCCCCCCCTTCTTCCCCCCCCCCCCCCCCCCCCCCTCCCCAATGGCTAAGGTTAACTGTCTGGACAGCTGTGAGTCAACCCTTCAAGACACGCTGCTTTATCTGATTGGTCTCAGTCTTGATCTGGCACATGAAAGGAAATGTGAGGAAGTTTCAAGCAGAGATCATTTTGCAAGTCCAAAGCCGAGGGTGAGGTCAAGTTTGCTGGCATTTTCGGAGTATCACGTTACAAACATAAAACAAAGTACCATGCAGACAAT